AAGGAAAGTTCCGAAAGTGATTGCAAAGAGTTTGAGTACATCCAAGTAGAATGAGGTGTTTGATTGACTGCAGTCCATTCCAAACTACAAGACATGATTTGTGTCTGGGGTGGCCGTGTAGTAATGCAAACGGCGGTAACTAAAAGTGTTTAGTCATCAATGATTTAGTATGTAAAAAAGCTAAGAATTCACTTAGGCATGAACCAAAGAAAGATGCGCAATGGTATTTGCTTTAGTTCCCAATGTTCTGCTCCAGTAATATCCACTCTTTTGTATAAAATAGCAACAAGATAGTTGCAATAGATAAAACATCTTTGCTTTTGTTTCACAGATTATTATATGGTGTGYACTCTATGATAACATGTAAGGATAATTTCTAATTATTGTAGTAAGCAGGAACACAAAAAAAATAAGCTAAAAGTAAATCAGGTTGTAACTATTAAATGAATCATTTTGTCTTTTTTTGTTTTGATGCAAGGTTACTTATTTCTATAGCATGACTTATCTTTAATAACAATGTAATAATGCATAATAAAGGCATTAAAATCCATGTGCCATTAGGAATGATGTAAAACAACAAGTGTTCTGACCAAGATGTTTGGGCAATAAACTCATCACCATGGCACGACTTGGATGAGGTGATGAAATATAGCACTGTCTTGGAACACGTCATTGTTGAAACAATAAGTGCCATTACTACACTATGAACAGAACTCTGGGTATTCTAAGAAAGAAAAGTCAAAACATTTATCATAAGCTCCTAATCTTATGCATAATATATGTATAAACTCACAAACCATTGAATTGTTAACATTTATATTTGTCATGACTATTTCTATATATGCAGGGGCAGCTCTTGAGGAATGTGAGGGGAGGGGGGGGGGGGGGGGGGATTGTCTGTACTCTTTAAACTGCAATCAGCAGTTTAAACACCCCTAGCCAAAATCCTGGATCAACCCCAATAGGATATGATATGGTATGATGCGTATTTTCATTGAATTGATAACTAGCTAAAAACTAGTGTGAGCTGCGTCGGTATTTCTAATGAAACAGTTATGATAAAAGGGTAAATTATACACCGTGAAAAGATGAAAGTCGGAGTAAAAGAGCATGACAAAGGACTAGCGTCCAAAACGGCAGTAGTTTTTTCATCTTTTCACGGTGTTTAATTTACCCTTTTATCATTACTATTTTCATTGATGTTAACTATTAGGAATTAGGCTAGTGCTAATGTTCTTAGAAGTTAGGTTGAATAAGTAATAACAGATACCTACTGATCAGGGGCGTAGCCAGACTGAAATGTGTACCGAGCCAACTGGCTATGCAAGGCGGGAGCAACTAGAGGGGTTGGGGGCTTGCTCCCCTGAAAAGTTTTGAAATTAACAGACCCTCAGAAATGCAATTTCCAGCATTTTTGAAGGACATTTGTGAAATTTTACCGAGGCAAATTTCTTCCTTATCGTTCCTTCTGATATTTTGTTGAGTCCTTGCATAAATTTATATGACCCCCCTTTTCTCCATGCATAAAAATTGATGACCTGCCCCCTATTTGCACCAGTCCCCCCTCCCAAAAATAATGGCCAATCCCTAAATCAACACTTATAGCCAGCTTGGGCTACCTGTGAGTAAAGTGATCATTTAGTACTTTATCCATTTTAGAACTTTTGTTATTGTTTGTATGATTTAAAAAAAAAATACTTACAGGGGCGCACAAGATTAATCAAGGTCGCCTCCAGGCAGGGTACGAAGTCTAAGAAGAACGAACGGAGCATCTTTTGTGCAAAAAAAACAGACGACAGGGCGAGCCAGACCGTTATCCATGAAGGCAACTTCAGTAACTGACCTCCATCTTGAACACAAACCACGTGATCATAACTTGTCCTTCCGCTGGACAAAAAAGCGCGCGAAAATACTGTAATGATCTGTTTTGAACTCGCCGCGTGACCAAATTGAAGAGAAACAACTCAATTAAACCTCCACCAAATAACCAAGAAACAAAAGTTTGAATGCTCGGGTTTTGTTTTACTTTCTTTAGTTTAAATTGAGGTTATTCTAAAAGCAGTTCTTTCACAAAAAAAGTACGTTTCAAAGCGTGTTCTGGACAGAAGCTGAAAGCTGTGCTAAAGGGATCATTGTCACTGACATGACTAGCTCAATGGAAAGTTTTTTACGAAGTTAAAAAGGTAAGTTAACAGAGTTAAAAAGATAAGTTTACAGTCCCCAGTTTTGGTCTGAAAGCTGTTGAAATAATGGGTTATTGACACTTTCAGCCTCACAACGTATAACTGAGACAGGTTCTTATGAGGACAAAGCTTAAACAAACATTGTACAAAGCATGTTCTAAGAATGATCATTGAGAATATTTTATTTTATAATAATACATGTGACCACTGTATGGGCTAAATCCGGGCAGCTTTAATATATTATACACTGGGACATAATACAACTGTCATAAGGGCGGGTGGGAGTGGTAATAACAATAATTCTAGCGATCTAGCGACGTATAACATACTATTCGGAATGAACAACAAGCCACGAGGCGAAACATGATACATGATATATGATATACAAGATTGACCAACCCCATTAAACATTAAACTATATTAACAAACTTAATTCCACCAAAAAACACCATATACCAGGATGAATTGTTTTTGGCATGTAGATAAGTACCTGAAGTTAAAAAGCCTGATTTCTGTCACTAGATACCATTATTTGTAATGTGTAATTATGATTTATGTTTGTTAATAAATAAAAAATAAAGAAAACCCCAAATATATTAGAACCATTACAACCTGACGTGACAAATTAGTAGTCCTTTACTCGGTGTTTTACTGTATTGGCAAAGTCCAGTATTACTTTGCCTCTGAGTATATTTATTTATTTATTTATTTATTTATTTATTAGTTTCGCCATATATTAAACTGGAAATATAATAACTGAAAAAAATACTGTGATACATATGACAGGGTGACCGCAACAGCGTTAAGCCAATTACTGCGGGCCCAAAATAATGTCTTAAATGAAACTTAGTGCATAAATTAAGTAGATATATTGACACATTTGAATCAAATAACTAACAACAGGAGGTAGCAAGAGTGAGGCTTCTGCAAGAGGTACATTTTAAACAAACTGTTTTGAAAGTACGTGGGTCGTAACAGTTGTAACTGTCCAGTGACGTTACGTAGTAACTTAACATGGCGCGTTTAAATGTGTTGAGTTTGTCCATGTTCAGATTTAGTTTATCAGCGAGAGCGTTCCATATTCTAGTTGTCCTGATGAGATAGGATTTCTGGTACGTAGAGGTCTTGCACTGACGTACTGCGTACTTGACAACATTACTGTTTGATGATCTTGTTGGTCATGTACGTCGAGGAACAGGTAGTAGTTTAGGCTTCACGTGTATCAGGTTGTGCGTTAGTTTAAAGAAAAAAATCATGTCAAGGTAATCATGCCAGTAAGTTATTGGTAGTTAAGACAGAGTTTTCAATCTCGAACTGTAAGAGACGGTGGATGAGAATGGCAGTTTGAGAATGTATCTTGTGGCACGTCGTTGTGTTCTCTCAACTTTTGATATTAGTTCAATAGACTGTGGTGCCCATATTTGTGATGCGTATCCAAAGTGAGCACGAACGAGAGTAAGATACAGCGTTCGTCTCACGGAGATACTTTGGATGTATCGAGTGTTTCTGACGTAGCCCAGCAGTTTGTTAGCTCTAGCTGTTTGTTCCAGTACCTGCTTGTTCCAAGTCAAGATGTTGGATACCCAGACACCCAAATCGCGTTCAGCTTTGACGGATACGAGTTCAGAGTTCTTGAGACTGTAGGTAGATTCCACGGGTCTGATTTTTCTTGTTATTCTTTGCGCCTTACATTTAGTCTCATTGAACGTGAGACCGGATGACTAAGACCAAACGTGCAGGCTGTTTAAATCGGTCTGTAGCGACGCAGCATCTTGAAGAGACTTGATATTTTTGTAGATTTTTGTATCATCAGCATACATGGCAACGTTGCTGGACTCGACTACTTCTGGGAGGTCGTTCACGAACAGGAGGAACAAAGCTGGTCCCAAAATAGAGCCTTGAGGAACCCCGGAACCGACAGGCAGGGGATCTGATGTAGCTCCGGCCACAGTAACACGCTGGTGGCGGACCATTAAGTAAGAATTGAACCACTGTAGAAGGGTGCCACCATAACCAAACTCGCGCAATTTATGAAACAAACGACTGTGACTGACTTTGTCAAAGGCTTTGGACATGTCCATATAAACCACATCAATCTGTTCTAGCAATGATCCGATGTGATCCAAGATTTCAAGGAGGTTGGAGGTGCAGGATTTTCCGCTGAGGAATCCATGCTGACAAGTGTTGATCACACTGTATAGTTGATCTTTGATGTTGTTAAGGACACATCGTTCTAGGATTTTTGACAGCAGAGAAAGCAAAGATATAGGTCGATAGTTCTCTGCATGCTCGGGATCACCTTTTTTGAATACAGGTACAATGTTTGCATTTTTCCACTCCTGCGGGAAGACTCCAGTATTGAGGGATTTATTGAATAGCTTGCAGATGGATGGTGCAATTAAAGAAGCAGTCTCCTTGAGCAGTTTTGCTGGAATGCCATCTGGTCCGGTTGCTTTTGTGACATCTAGAGATTGTAGCACATTTTGAACTTCACTGATTTCAAACGTTAGTTGACATGTAGTAGGTTCAGGAACTGCGCTGTTGGATGTCACGATAGGTTCACCATGCGAGTAGACTGATGCAAAGTATGTGTTGAATAGGTTGGCATTCTTCAGAGGCGTGTCAGCTGAACATCGAAGAGCTTGATCGTGTGTAGCTTGGTCATTTGTACTTATGATTCTTTCCATGTTGATGCGATCAGGAATCGAGCGTGATTTAGATTTCGTCTTTAAGATAGACCAGAAGCGCTTTGGATTGTTGTACAAATCTGCCTCAAGGGAACCAAAGAATTCCTCTCGACTGTTCCTTATCATGTGCTTTACTTGTGCTCGCAAGGATGAGAACCTCTGTTTTAGAAGATTATTCGTCGGATATCTCTTGAGTTTTTTTCTTACAGTGTCTTTCTTCTTGATCAGATTTACTATGGCTCCGTTGATCCACGGCACAGGGTTGCGTCCCTTGAGTCTCTTAGTTGGTATGTATTTAGAGACGGTTGCAAGAAATGTTTCCTTCCAGGCAAGCCAATCGGTGTTTATATCATCATGATCTATGGTTGAAGAAAGGTTAGCCGTCAAAAG